TGGAGGGAGTTTCAAGAGAAAAAACTAAAAAAATTAATAATTTATATTAATTAATATATATATATATATATTTAAATAAGAAAAAAAAGGTAAAAATAATAAAAAGACGAAAAACACAATATGATAAAATAAATAAATAATTGAAATAGGGTTTAGGAGTGCGCTTAGTACATTCTAGGGATTGCTATGGGGAGTGCTAATGGCACCCATTTGATGTCAAAATCAGGTCATTCAAGCATTGTGAATGTAAAAAGCATGTATTGATGGTGATGTGTGTGAGGAAGAAATTCATGGATAATGGTACATTAAGCAATGCATAGGGGTGCATTTAGCCCACCCCATTGCTATTAGCCTTCCCCTATAATAAATGTGTAAAATAAAAAATAAAAAAAAGCAAAGGATATTAAATAAATTAAATAACTAATAATAAAGATATAGAGTGTAAATGTTTTTACTAATTGAAAAATCAAAAATGTATTTATAAATTCTTTTTTTTTGCCCGAAAACAAACTTTAGACATAAACTACATAAAATTTAACTGTAAATTTTGGATTGAAGAAAATGTCTTTTAAGATAATTAAAAAGTGAAATTACTAACTGTTTTTGTAAATTATCCTTAAAATTTTTAAGAAATCATTGGATGCTTTTAAAAGAGTAAGTTTTATTAGGTGGAAAAGCACTGTGGATGCTGACGTTTAACTAAACAGGTAAAAAATATATAAGAAATTTGACAACAATTAATTCAATCGACTGTGTACCCTTGGAATTTTATTAATGTATGAGCTCTATATGACAACGACGTATTTCCATTTATAATAACGTGGATAAAAACATAACATCAAATAAAAACATAGATTAATTAAATGTTTGAAGAGGACGTGGAATCTATAGGTGTAAGAAGTATGACAAATTGCATGAAAAAAGTAACGTTTTTTAACTTTATTTTTATTTTGGGTAATGTACTTTTCAACACTTTCATTTTGATGTCTAATAACAAATTAAAGTACATTAATTTTTCATGTAACTTGCTGTAAGAAGTAATCAATCAAATATAAGAGAATATATATATATATATATATATATATATATAAACTTAGGAAAGGAGAATAGTATGCATGTATATATGGCTACATACTTTTTGAAAATTTAGGTGGTCAATTTAGAAAAGTAAATTCATGCTTTATGTTACATTTTTGATGTATATATGGTTAAATGAGTTATTTATTTACCTCTTAATAGTTTCATTAAGAGACAATTTTTAAATCATTAAAAGGTGAATCTTGTTTGACAAAAAACAATGTATGTCTCTTAATGGTTGTAAAACCCTCTGAATGATTTTGTATGTTGGACCTCCCTTAACCATTCAGCGTCCTAATTTCATTGTAAACAATTATCAAGTAATTATATTTCAATTTGCACTATATCATGAGAATCTCATAATCATTCTGCATCAAACCATTCAGTAATTATATAGCAAGAGTATAAAAATTAACGTCTTTTACCTAGGTTAATAACAAATAGTCATTTTTAACTCCTGTACAATCCATTTGTGTTTGCTTTTGAAAAATCCGATGAATAGCTTTTCATTTACATGTTGATCGACAAATCTAACTTTAATGGAGGAAAAACGGTCGCAGGTAGCACTATGGATAGTGACTCCAACGTTACTACAAAAAGGTTCAGCGACGTTTGCGATGACTGTTTTCTTAATCTTGTTTCTCTTTCAATACTTACCAAAAATTTATCACTTTGTCCACCTCTTACGACGTATGCAAAGTCTCTCCGGCTATATTTTTGGTACCGTTTGGTGGGGAATTGCTCTCAACTTGATTGCCTATTTCGTTGCCTCACATGTAAGTTCCTTTTTCAACACCTTAAACACGTCTTGATTCTGTCTTGAAACTACTATAAAGTTGAGTTTATAGGACGCCATCAATTTCTAAGCATCGTGATAGACTGTTTTATAAGACTTAGTTTATAGAAAAAAAAAATAGAAAGTGTCCTGTAAACCCATCTTTTATAGGACATTTATTTTACCAAACACTTTTTCAAATATTGTTCTATAAAAATAGATAATGCGACTTTTTATATAAAAATGTTCTAAAAAACCTGTTAATTATGATACCAAAAAGCATTCTACAAACTTATTACAACGACTTTATATGAAACGTTTTATTTTTTGGTCCTATAAATATAGTCTTATAAAACGGTCTATTAGGACGTTTAGAAAACTTTGGCGTTCTATAAATCCAATTTTGTTATAGAGTAATGTGTATTATGCATTTAAAATTTTATTAATTAGCAGTTACTACAACAAAATCGGCTTTATATATAGGACATGATATATGTTTAAAAATGTCAGTATAAAATAGTATATTAAGGGGGTGTTCGGGATTGTTTATATAAACAATTTATTAACTTATTCCGGTGTGACACCCGTAATAAACATTTTTGAGTGTTTGGATAAACAACTTATATCGGTGCCAAACCGGTAATAAGAAGTTTTTGAAAAAGTCAAACTCTTCTAACTTATAATAAGTTGATAAGTACTTTTGTAAAAAAAATATAAGTTATTTCAAATAAGCAATCTCAAACACCTCTAAGACGGTTAGACATATTTCACGTCTTATTCAACCACTTTGGTGGTAGTAAGTATTTCATTTGGTTTTATCTGAAAATGAAAATGAAAATGAAACAGGCTGTGGGAGCATGTTGGTACCTGCTAGGAACCCAAAGGGTTGTGAAGTGCTTGAACCAGAAATGTATGGAAACACATGGATGCAACATGAGAATATTCACATGTGAAGAGTTGTTGTATTATGGAACAAACACTCTAATGAGAGATCAATCAAGATTATTATGGGGTGAAAACATAAGTGCAAGGTCTATTTGCCTACAAGACAATGACAACTTCAATCACGGAGTTTTTAAATGGACACTTCAACTCGTCACCAATGAGAACCGATTGGAAAAGATACTCTTCCCCATATTTTGGGGCCTCATGACACTCAGGTTTATATAGCCTATCATTATAACAAAATTGACTTTATAGAACGCCTAAAATGTAGAATCGTTCTAAAGAATACTTTACGTCGAATTGGCCCCCAGAAAAAGTCCTCCATTTGGTAGTGCAAAAAAACGTATAAGTGTCATATCTAAAAGTGTTACAATAGGTTTATATGACGATTTTAGGCGTTTTAACAAGTTTTTTAGAATGTTTTTAAAATAACGTATCGTATTAATTATTTTATACGGCACCACTTGAAAATATATCATATAAAAATATGGGGTTATAGGACATTTCTCAAAATTGTTCTATAAAATAGCTAATATGACACTTTATTTGATAAAACGTCCTATAAGATATGACATTTTATTCTATTAGGACATCTATACAATTTAGGCATTCTATAAAGTCAATTTTGTTGTAGTAAATGTATTTGCTTAGATATTTGTGAGATTAATGTTTATGGAATTTTTAGTTTGAGAGCGAAATCTCGATTGCTAGTTTTCATTTACTTGGTGTGAAGTTATAATTAGAACCCTAATTCTGGAACAGTACATTTGGTAACTTAGAAAGTACAACAGATTGGTTGGAAGTAGTATTCATCATCATCGTTCTCACAATCGGCCTTCTTTTAGTCACCATGTTGATCGGAAATATCAAGGTATGTTGTCGATGTGGTAATTTCGCTTTATTATGTTAATCTTGATCTTAAAAGTCTTGGTGTATATATATAAACAGGTTTTTTTGAATGCAACAACATCGAAGAAACTTGCAATGCAATTGAAAATGAGAAACATGGAGTGGTGGATGAGGAGAACTCACCTCCCTCAAGGACTTCGACAAAGGGTACGAAATTACGAGCGGCAACGTTGGGCAGCGATGCGCGGAGTGAATGAGTGTGAGATGATCCAAAACCTGCCCGAAGGTCTCCGTAGAGACATCAAGTACCATCTTTGCTTGGACTTGGTTCGACAGGTACATAACCAAATAATAAGTTGTTAGTGATCGAAATGTTATAACTAAACACAATAAAGTTATAACCAAACTCAATGTAAAATAAAATTTCTACTTGCATATAACAAGAATTTTCACAATTGTGGTGGAATTGAAAAGATACGAAATTTGGAGGGGGTAAAAGAGAAATATGTTTGTTTTGTCTCTCAAGACTAAGCATGTTATGTTGATTTTTTAATTTAGGTACCCTTATTTCAACATATGGACAACTTGGTCCTTGAGAATATATGTGACCGTGTAAAGCCCCTCATATTCACTAGAGGAGAAACGGTGAGTTAATCTGAACTTAATCTAAATTCACTTTCTTGCCTATAATAAATGAGTTGATTAAATTGCAAATCCTGATAGATTACTCGAGAGGGAGATCCAGTGCAACGAATGTTATTTATAGTGCGAGGACATCTGCAGAGCAGCCAATATCTACGAGATGGTGTCAAAAGTTGTTGCATGTTAGGCCCCGGGAACTTTAGTGGGGATGAGCTCTTGTCATGGTGTTTAACAAGACCCTTTGTCGAAAGGCTGCCTCCATCTTCGTCGACACTAGTAACCCTCGAGACCATAGAAGCTTTTGGGCTGGATGCCGAAGATTTGAAGTATGTTACACAACATTTTAGGTACACGTTTGTGAACGAAAAAGTAAATATGAGTGCAAGATACTATTCGCCAGGATGGAGGACTTGGGCTGCAGTGGCAATTCAATTGGCTTGGATGAGGTACAGGCACAGGCTCACGCTCACTTCGTTGTCATTCATCAGGCCTAGGAGACCTTTGTCAAGATGTTCCTCACGTGGGGAAGATAGGCTAAGGCTTTACACGGCTTTACTGACTTCACCAAAGCCTAATCAAGATGATTTCGACTTTTGAAACATCGCAACTTTTTTTTGGTCAATATGCAACATATTGGTGATAAACTGCCATCAATCTCTAGTAAAATTTTTGGCTAGCTAGACGTCAACATCAAAATGCGTTATATATGCACTTCCATTAGCTAGTTCTTCGATTCAAAATTTCATATTAAAGCACTATCTAGTTTTTGATATGAATGGTTTCTTTTTAAAATGCGACATCCACATGCATGCATATCCACATCATATCCATATCCACGATAAATTATTCATCGATCTAAAGACCCCGATATCGCTAGGGTAAAGGTCATTTCGTAACACACCTTTATTTGCTGCTAATAAATATTAGTTCATTCTCTTTTGCAATGAACCAATAGAGAAAATTTAATTTGATCATGAAATTTGGGACAGTTGACCTTTTGGGGTCAATTTGATAAGGGTCAAATGTGATCTGTGGATTCTTTTTCATATATAACACATTAATATTTGGTAGAATGTTGCAACAAAATCTAATAACAAGTAAGCACACAGTGTCATCCACTGTTCAATCATGAATACATTGGTTACAAGATGGAATTTCAGTTCATAGATTGAACCTCAATCTATCGATTTATTCATCATTTTTGATGATTTTATTTCCATATTGATCTTCAAAGATCTTTTCACTTCTTGCATACAATCCCATTTCCATGGAACAATCCCTTGGCTGAGCAATCCAAGGTTCCGTACTCCTTCCTCGTCTTCATCTTCTCTTCCGCTGCATCGTTGCTCGAATCGAAGATGCAGGTTGCACAGTCCGCCGCCAATAAAGAGGTGGTTTTGTACTTGTCTTCTCCTCCBACAACCGCCATGGCCACACCTGGTTTCGCCGGATTCTTGAAATCCGGTTGATATGTCCTGCCCAACACWCCTTCCACCTCATCTGAAAGCCCAGAAAACCTAAACTGAAYTTCTAAATGAGCAAAGCAATCATCGGAAGGCACTTTGTAACCATGGATCTTGTCRTCTTCCGACGTAACAGGCACCACATTTGCCAAAATCTCCACCACTCCWRGTAAAGTCACCATCACGCTGTTCACTCCAGAAGTTCTCTCCACTTTGATTCCATCTTCACGTGACTGCCACGTGGATAGACCACCGATAGGTAATGAGATCTCTTCTCCGTCGTAGGAGAATCTGAGATGGTCGATTCCGCCGTCCCAGGTGGCGGATTTGGTGGCTTCTAGTGAGAAAGTATGGGAGTTGAAGAGGAGACCCAAGGCTTGGATCCAAGTGAAGTCCCTGGTTCGGCCGGTGGGACGGTGGCCGATGAAACGACCGTTGATTTGGAGGTTAGAATCGGAGATTAAACTGAAATGCTGGTTGACCTTGCCATGGAAATAGAACACAATGCCATCTCCCCCGATGAAACGTGGGTCGTAGCATGCTGATCCGGGGCTGTTGCAGTTTGGTTTACGTTCTACAATAAGTAACACATAGGGTTTTAGAACCCAAATCAATAAAATATTATAAATCTTTTAAACTTGATTAAAAGATGAATATATTGTTTTCAAAACTCTCTAAATCGTGGGATTTTTATAAAAAACAGTGTATTATGTGTTATTTTATTTGATTTTTTTATCTATGACAAGAATTTATATAGTGATTAACATATATTTGTTTCACGTGTACTCGGTTCACAATATGAATGTTTTTAGCATGTTTTGTGTATACGTAAAAAGTTTCACGTTGTGAAACGAATACATATGAAATAAATATATGTTAATCATTAATACATTAAATATTTTATATAAATAGAAAAAAAATCATATGAAATAAAAACTTAATTAAAATAGAAGTAGTCACGGATCTCACGATTTTTAGAGTTCTCAAATAATATAATATATAAAGAGAGAAATGAAGAGATGGTTAATTATAGACGTACGTTTGCATTCGGCCTTGCATTTAGGGGAATAGCAGTCGATAAGGCAAACCTTAGCCTTAGGTTCATTAGATTCGCTGGAGGGGCATTCGGACGGGCAATAGAGGGTTTGGCCTTCGCAACGGGACCAAGGGCCACAGTAAGAGCTCGAATAGCCCTTCACTTGAGAAATTGCAGCCAAAAGAGCAAATGTAGCCAAGAAGATGCAAATTAAGCTCTTGTTGCTTGCCATTTTCATGTCTTAATATGTTATGGAAAAGGGTGGGTCTTATAGCTATTTATAGGCTCTTGGATGTTTGTGTGTGCATGTATTATATATATAACTTGTGAAGGTGAAAGCATGGTGATTCAGTGCTTTTGTATGTCAACGTTATGACTTGTGAAGGATTATAGCTTTCACCACAAGATATGCACAATGTACAAGTCGCCATAGCACATATGGCATTAGGTTTTGCTTTCATGTAACATAAGGTACCTGTTAACTCTGACATATATAACATGTAATTAATGTATCTATGCTTACTTAATTTTGAGATTATTCCAAAATTAAAAATTAATTGTGTATAATACAAGCATTATATATAATATTTCTCTAAACATGTAACATCACACATGTATGCATTAATCGGGTGCATGATTACGTAACCGTGGATCGCATATAACGGACTTCACCATGGTCAACGTCACGGTGAATTGTCCATCGATCTATAACCATATTCAAAACGATTCGCCAAATAAATATAAATGTATTCGCCTCTGAAAACTTTCCTTCTAAATGTGAGAGGAAAAAGAAAGAAAAACGTTGTACCCTACCGTCCTAAAATAAATGTCCACATTTATATTTATGTTTGTCCAAAATAAGTGTCCGCTATCAGAATTCTCAAATATACCCCTAATAATACACAAATATCCACATTTCTATTTATGTTTGTCATTTGGTTTAACTAAAAGAAGTACTGATTATGAATGCTTAAAATTGTTTGTCATAGATTGTGGAGTGTTAGGGGCCTTTTGGTTCGCGAAATTCGAAATTTTTTGATGAAATTGGAATGACAAATTTTTTTCATCAAATTCCGTTTCCTTTGTTTGGTTAACCTTTTCAAATAGATGGAATATTTGAAATTCCATTGAATTCTACAAATCAAATGAATTCATCATTCATTGACATAATGAAAGAAATTGAATTCTTTCACCGCCCATCTCTTGCCCCCACCATGACAATGCTACAATTGTTCGTCACGCCTCACCACCACCACACCACTACTATCGTCGCTACCCACCATAACCAATCCTCCACTAACCACCATTCCACTACTGTTGTCATCACACCCACCTCCCTTTACCCACTGCACATTCTTACTACCCTCATGCTACTACTGTTACAATCACGCCCCTAGCCTAACCTCCCATAGGCACAATGACACCACTACTATCGCCGCCCCTACCACCACATCACTACTGTCGCCGTCACAACCGCCACTCATCCCCTCCCCACCCCTACCCTATCCTAACCCACCACTAACCACTATCCCACTATTCACATCCGCACAACTACCACCTTCAAACCCACCCCATCGCCTCACCCTACATCCAAATTCTTTTAGTTAAACCATTAATTACCATTTTGTCCTTGGTGAAAAGTACATAATATTTATATATGACAAATGTAACAAATAAACTAACACATGTGTGAATGTTAAGAACCAGATTTACCAAACAATTAAAATAAAATCAATGCAGAAGATATTGTAGCCGGATGCTTGATTAACAAGAAAAAGATAGATAACTAGCTATTTGAGAGGCTAGACTTTCCCAAGGATAAACTCGATATTTTCTGGATACCTTATTCTCCGGCCTCTCTCTAGCTTATTTATTAACAGCCCTAATAACCCTAACGGGCTTGGGCTTGGGTCGGTTGCTAACAATGAATTCCTGGCCTCTCGAAAGGCCAAAAATCTGGATAACACTACGACGAAGGCCATTTGGTAACTGAGCTATGTTTGTTGTTGATAAATATAACTTCACTTTTCTCTTCTTCTAATTTTGCTTCAAGTTCATCTACTTAATTACTGTTGTTGCCTTCATGATTTGTCGTTTTGCTATGTTTCTTTGACAGCAATGATCGTTTGCCTCGTCTCAAATTAATGCGATTTTACACATAATTTTACTATAAAATTACATATGATTCGAACGTTTTTGTATGAACCCAACTCTTTATATATATATATATATATATATATGTATATATGTGTGTATAGGGGTAGGTTCAGTTGCAAACTTAAGTTCCACTGTGACCGAACTGGGGGACAAAGGAGAGCATGACACGTGTCTCATTTTTTTACGAGATATTTATCATTAATGGTGTATCATTCATCATGAATGGTGTAAGAAATTCACGTTCATATATTCATGATGAATGAATACAAATTATGGAAACATGTGTCGTATTCTACTTTGTCTCCAATTCACAACGGAAAACAAGTTTGCAACTGAACTCCTCTCCTCTCTCTCTCCACACACACACACACACACACACACATATATATATATATCACTACTAGAAAAACAGGTATCAGCGACGAACATCAGCGAGGGAAGATATCCCTCGCAGATCAGCGAGGGATCAGCGAGGGAAATCCCAAAAATAATAAATCCCTCGCTATTCCCTCGCTGATCTGCGAGGGAAATTTTCCGTCGCTGATCCCTCGCTGATCTGCGAGGGATCAGCGAGAGAATTGCCAAAAAACTCATTCCGTCGCTGATCCCTCGCTGATCTGCGAGGG